AGTATTATTTTCTCCACTTTCAAGTTCATTAAAGAAGAACTGAGATGTGGAAATCTCAGTTCCCTATCAGTACATAATGCTTGGACATCCATAAAAGAACCAAATTATTTATATACATATCTTGCCTACAAAAACATGAGAATAACTTTTTTTATGTAAATGACAAACAAATATGTCCATTAACATAAATTTTCCCTTCACTCACTGTTGTAAGACTCTTTCAGGTTTAAAAAAATACCCTGAGTTGTGGAACAATTTATTTTATCTGTAAGATAAACAGAATAATAAAATTAATGGTAAAAAGCTTTAAGGAAACTAAAAAAGATTTAACATGTTTGGGCATGATTCAGAAGTTTGGGAGGTACTTCGCAATCATTCACAGAAAAATTGTTTGGACTATTCAAAATGTAAAAAGGGCCACAAAAATCTCCAAATAATACTATTTTCCTTTAAAAAACAGGAACTACTCAATATACAAAACTTTAAAATTAGATAAGTTAGGCATTCGTAATTTATAAGATTCTCCGTGGATTTTCTTTCAAAAGCAAGCTCTCCTGTATGATTAAAATAGTATTTGATTCACAACACTCAATGTATATGCAACTTCTCAGTCACACACATATTGCACAGAGTGACATTTGAATTGTTCAAATCATAAAACCTTCATTGTCTGGTTAGATAAATAGCCTGCATTCAACTGCCATGAAAAATCAGGATAGCATACAGCCAAAAGAATAACAGTAGAAAAAAAAAAAAAAACCTGTTAGGTTACTACTGAAAGAAACTACCCTACTAAAGCCTCTTTACCTTCTCTATAGGATTTAATAATAGCTTTAAAGTAGTTATAAATACATACCCATACTTCATTCTCATTCTATCATTCTCTGGGTTACAGTAAAATCTTTCCAAGTGCTCCTGGGAATCATTGGATACACTCTGCCACTTCTGAGTAGTTGTCCTCTTGATCTGCCAATGATACGGCAAGACCGTGTGGTGCTTCAAACAATCCCTGCCATAAATACAAGTGCCTTGCAAAAAGTCCATGCAAATTTCAATTCCGTTCTCTTGGTGAGTGTGGTACTGTAGCTGGTTCACCAGCTCAAACACAAGGTCAAGGGAGGCCTCTTCACTTTTGTCCTGAAAGAGCTCAGTATTCAACTTATCACTGGTATCCAAAATGTACTGGATTGTAAAACTGTTGTCTTGGAAAACCCCTGGAACGTAATCCGTGACTTTGTCTATGCAGTCAGGACTAGCAGGAACATCACTTGAAACTGGGTGCAAAAGGTCAGCCTGGAAGTGCCCTGCTGTAGAATCTGCCACTGTCCCACTGATGGTTTCTGGTGGAAAGCTATGATCCTGGATTGGAACCACTTGTTCAGGATCATCAGTGGTAGGATGGGCTTCTGGTATCTGGCCCCCGACATTTGTTCCATCAGGAATCAGGACAGACATACTGTCTTCTGCTGGTGGACACGATGGATTGATTTCCAAAGGTTTTTTCACCATAGATTCATGTAAGCTGCTCTCTTCTGCACTCTGATTTCTAGGTCTAAAAACCCCATCAAGTGAACCAGATTCTAACAAAGTATTTAATATTGGTCTCAAAGACCTCAGGGTTCCGGCTCCCAATCTCTTCTGATCCTTTTTCTTAAAACAAGTCTTCAATGGAGTGATCTTCTCAGAGAGTCTCATTTGGCATGAAAAGTCATCAGGAGGAGAGGGAGGCTGCACTACACAGTCTGGCTCAGGTTCGGTGGTTTCCATTTCCATGATGTGGATTAGCTCCAATTGCTCCTCAGTCTAAAAAATCCTACCAGGAAAAGAAAGAATATCATTTACAAGCTGACAACAAGCGAATCCTATTCATTCATCAACGTGTTTTGTTCTAGTCTCTAAGTCCCTGAAATCATTCCTCTTATGCTGTATTTCACCTTTACAGGTCAGTTTTAAATTTTACTGAGAAATCAAGGCTCCAAAGCAGCCAAGGTTATTCAAAAGCCCACAACACATAAGGTGAGAGAGAGATAGTATCTTCCAATAGGCTCTTGACATTTATTTGTGGACTTAATATACGACTTGTAATTCTGCTGGGGTATGAATGTTTACAGTAAGTCTAGAATGGGGTGGAGGGTGAGGGGTAGAAATAAGTGCATCTAACGACAGTGGGGAAACCACATCTCTACTGCTTTGTGGTTCTCTTCACAGTTGTTTATGTATTGCCTATCTCATGAGGTGACAAAAACTATTTCTTTGTTAAAAAAAAAAAGTTTGTCAAACGCAGGAAAAACTGCAAAGTTAACTGTGAGTGAATTTGGGGTATAAGGATATACTCAGGAAACAGGGGCTTCTCAATCGAAATATTATATGGGAGAGAGCCTACTGAAGCATTTCTAGATTCAGAAACTTCCAATATATTCCCCAAGGATGTTAAGGGTCTACTTTTGCAATCCCCAAACATAACCACTACTGGAAGAAGAATATCAGGGCTTGTTAGTAACAGAAGCTACATCACCAACAACCATTGCACACTGTTTTAGAAACCAAACACAACTTCCTAATACAGAAAGGGGCCTCCTTCTCTTCAGAAAAGTTACATATACGCATTTTTTCAAAAAGACAAATGAAGGCATAGAAAAATAACACAAGAAAAAAAAAACCACCAAATTTCAGATCCCTAAAGAACTACTCAGTGACTAAAAAAGTGCTTTCTTCAAAGAATCAGACCCCTTGAAAGAAACTGGAACTTAAAGTAAAAAGCAAAGAAAACTTTGTAAAATGATGAATGGTGTCTCCTCCACAATCTAGCATTCATTAACTAATTCTGAAAATATTTACTGAGCATTGTGCCAGGTGGTAAAGGGGTGGTGATGAGCAATTAATCTTCTCCCTTGTCCAACAGACTGAAAGAAATCTTTGATGCAAGGACTCGTGACTTCATCAAGTATGCATCCCAGGTACCCAGTACAGTGCCTGGCACAATGCACATAGTGGGTGCTCCACAATATTTTTTTGCTGAATTACTGAAGAAAAAGCACCTATTAAATGCCTAGTTCTGTGAGGCTTTATGAGTCAACAATAGCGACAAAATGATAAAACTGAGTACCCAGAAAAATGAATATTAAAAAGAACTAATTGGAGAGATTCATAAATGTACATTTGTAAAAAGTGCTTAATGATCAAACTCAAAAAAAGTAAAAACACAGTATATAACAAAGTTTTTTTTTTTATAACAAGGTTTTAATGCACACAGTAAGTACAAAAAAAAGGTAGAAAAAGGAAAGTTCAATGTGAGCTGGCATTGTTAGGGAAAGCTTCATGAAGAAGGAGAGACTTGACATAAGACATAAATCAACTGGAAAGCAGCCAAACCAGGCGTTATTATTCATCATTTGGTGCTCTTGCCTCAAGGCACAATTGGCACAGATTGTGGTATTCCCTCTTCACCACACCAAACCGGCCTGTGCCTTCCCCCACACGCGCGCGCACACACACACACACACCACTCCTATCACACCCAATCAAGGCAAAACAGACGAAACCCAGTTCATTTATACGGGTGCATACACACACGCCACAACTTTTCCTATTTTTGCCCTCTGTCAACCTCAGAAATAAAACCGAGAAAGGGGCAGAGAACTGGAGGAGTGGCTGGAGTGGGGAAGTCACTAGAACCTAGTTCCTCAATTAGTTTGCATAACAGAGAAATAAAGATTGGAAGGACACCTTCCTCCAGTCCCCGCTGTAGGCGACCTACCGCTCTACCCTTCAGCTCGTGATGCCCCCGGTTCTCGCGCACTCCCGACCCCTCGCACCATCCGGGGAAACTGCCTGCTCCAAACTCAGCACTCCGGCCGGGCGCAGCGCAACGCTCGGGTCCGAGCGACGCCTCCTGCCGGCCACGGTAGTTTGCTCAGCTCGGGCCCCCGGGCCGCACCAACTCCGCGCAACGCGGCCCATCCCGTGTCTTCCCGAGCATCCTGCCCCCGCCTGCCCTCACACTCCCGGGCCAGCCTCCTCCCACCCAACGAGAGACTCCCGCCCTGGCTGCCCTCCCTTCCAGAAGCCACTCGTGGCGCCTTCCACAGTTAATTTCTTTCTCTCCTCGACCGACCTTCCCGCGAAGACCGTCCTGCGAGGCTCGGAGGCTCGACCCGAGAAGAGCCGAGGAAACGCGGCGGGCGCTTCTCGGGCCGGCGGGGAGGAAGGCGACGACTTCAAAGTTAAACTGAAATCAGCTTTCAAACTTCTGGGCTGCAGCCGGAACACGGGTCCTCCGGAAGGCTCCTCTCAGCGGCCGTGCCCTCCCCCTCGATCTGCGCCCCAGAGCGCGCAGGGTCTGCCCAGCGGGGGCAACCGCACAGACGCACCCCCGAGTCTCCCCGACCCAGTGGGAATGGGGAGACGCCGGCGCCCCAGACTAAACCCTTCAGCGAATTAACTCCAATTTATACACCTGCCAGAGGCCCGAAGTGACTAAGAAGTGTAAACCAATGCCGTCCTGATATTGACGGGATCCGAGTGAATTCAGTACAAAAAGGCAGTCTAAACAGCACTCACCCCGGATCCGTGAAAGCCGGCAGCGAGGCCGGCGACCCCTTCCGCGCCCGCCTTCCCAGCGAGGGTCCCTCTTCGGCCCCTCAGAGCCCACCCGGAGCCCTTTACCTGAACAGGCAGCCTGAGAAAACGGACCACAGGAGCCGAGTCGCGGTGCCGCCGGCTTACACTGTTCGCGCCGGGGGGGGGGGGGGGGGGGGGGTGTGTGGGGGTGGGCGTGGGGGACGGGCTCGGGAGTCTAGGGGTCGCAGGCCGGAGACGCGGCGAGCGGCGCTCGGGCCATTCCGCCGCCGGGAGCGCAGAAAACCGCGACTGCACTCCCGACCCGGCTCGCTCGCCTGTCACCTCGAGCTCTGCTTTAAAGTGGCTTCCGGTCGCCTCCTCTCGGCAGCCCCGTCGCGGAGGCGGAGCCTGAGAGGCAGGGGGGCTGGGGTGGGGTGAGGGGACCAGGAGCTCAGTGGGTGACGGGTAGGCGGCCCGCCCCGCGTGCGCATGCGCGCTTACTCGCGGGGAGGCGCGCTCGAGGTGTGCGTGCAGCGGCCCCGTGCTCCCTGGAGGGGGCGTGTCCTTTCGCCGCCAGCTGGGTCCCGGAGGGTCTACGTCCGCAAGCGTCTGGGATCGCGTGGCTGTGAGGAGGGGAGGTTCGCACCGTGCGGCGGGCTCCACCTACCTGCAGACAGATGGAGGGTCACTTTGTTCGGAGGAAACTCAGGCACCCGAGGGAGGATGTGAAACGGAACAACCCGTTTCTGTGCGGTTGGCTTTGTTTATTTGCCTCCTCACTAGAGGCCTCCTACCCCTGACGCCACCGACCCCGAGAGGAGGCGATCAGCTGCTATGGCCGTTGCGGCCAGACGGGGTCGCCCGCCCCGTTCCGCACAGGCAGGCCCTGCGGCGCACCATGGCCTGCGATTGCCCGACCTGGTTGCACGCATTCCTGTTTCACGGGAAACATTCTCAGCATTGCAGAAGGGAAACCTAGCTTTGGGTTTTGACAGTAGAAGCACGTATATGTGTCTTAAAGGCCACAAACACGGTAGAGACTTGTTTATTCATTCAACAAATTTGTCGAGTGCCTATTGCATGCCGGGTGAACTGTAGGCTTAGACTACAGCCCTGATCAGCCAAGACACCTTGCCTGTCCTCATGGAGCTTTCGGAGCACCATGTACTCACCTCTAAAATACACACCACCTGTGAATTTTCCATACTTTCTGGATTGTAAAATGCCCTGGATGGTGAGTCTGTTGAATAATTTTTCAGCGGTGGAGGAACATACACTACGTTAAATTCATATAATCGCCATATATGTGTGTGTGTCGGGCGGGGGGAGAGGCCCTGGTCAAAATCAAAGAAAATTAATCACGACTGTATCCCCAACAGCTGGCAGAAAAAGGAACACAGCTCGCAAAGAGATACTCTCTTCATGTGGCCTGAAATCTAAAGTGGCTTAATTCTGTAACTTGGAGGCATTCTGGGTTGAAAAAGTCAGCTATTACCTTACCAAACATGGAAGCCTGTAAAAAATAAGAGGTTGTAGTAATAAATATTAGGGTTCCAAGCCTTTCTTAAACTGTTCTAAACCAAACTGAGTGACATATCAGCAAAGAATAGATTAAGGGTAGTATCCTACCCCAGCAGGCTTATTACAAATGGCATCAGGGCAGGTGCCTTGATGCCATTTAAACTAAGGTGAGAATGATATGGACAGAATTCAGGGACTACTAAGTAAAAGTCAAGAATTTCCAGGCTTTACAAATTGTATTGAGACAAAATCTTGATGTGTGCCTACTCACATATGGAATTTCCTAGAATTTTACTGTTTGCTTTCTATTTGTTTCATCTGTTCTGTGTTCTTTTCTTTCCTTTCATGCCTTCTTTTGAAGTATTTTAAATTCTATTCCCTCTCAACAATTAGGTTACTTGTTATACATTCTTTATTCTTTTAGCAGTGTTTCAGTTATTTATTGCTGTGAACAAATGACCCCAAAACTTATGACTTAAAACAACAACTCTTGTTTGCTTATGATCCGGGATTCTCTGGCTCAGGAATTCAGTCAGGACGTAGTGCAGATGGCTCATCTCTGCTCCATATCTGGAGTCTCACTTGGGGTGTCTCAGATGGCTGAGGCCTGGCTCAACTAGGGCCACATGTCTTGGGCCTCTGTTCTGGCCCTTGGCTGAATTCCCTGGTTTTTCTCTACAAGGCTTCTTCATGTGGCTAACTTGGGCTTCCTCACAGCATGGACCCCTCTTGGGGTTCCAAGAGGGAGCATTCCAAGAAGACAAGCCTCACTATGCAAGCCTTTGCTTACGTTATGCTTAATAATGTGTTATTGGCCAAAGCAAGTCACACTACCCGGCTCAGAGTCTATGTGGGAGGGGGACTGCTTGAGGCCATGAATATTGGGAGATGCTTAGACTAAGAGCAGATCACCTTAATCCCCAATCAAGGATTAATAATTAAAAGTTACTCCCAGGATGTAGCTCTTTGGAATCCAACTTATTTTTCACCCTCCACTCCCCAGTTACTCCCCTTGAGGCAACAGAGAACTCTAGCTAGTTCTCAACCTTTCCATTACTGTTTTCAGAGTGTCAATTGGCCCAAATGGAAAAATGGCACCAGATTCTGGACTCACCACTCGTGGATCTAGACTTCTCAGACTGCTAGAATTTTACTTCTCCAGAAAATGTATCTTCCACATTGTCTGCCTCAGATGTGATCCCTGGAATATAATGGAGTAGTAAGATCCTCCTAAAGAACAGAACCAGGAATTGACTGATTAAGCAAGGGCGTGGAATCTTTGCTCTTTCCAACAGGATAGGAGATGTTCTATGGACCAGTGACCACTGGGTGTTTCCATCTTCGCCTTTCTGAATAGGAGTTTTACCAACATCATGTACCCTGTCTATCCATCATTACTTAATAGGAGTATTGAGGCAGATAACTTTTTAAATTGGTGCCGGTGCATGAGGATCCACACTCTTACTGGGGAGTACTCCACATCATTGGGACTCCTGAATCTTGGACTCTAAGCTCATTGCAGAGACTTTGGGATTTTTTCTTTCTTTAAAGGAGGGGATGAGTATTCCTTATATGAGAAGAAGGGAAAGACATTGCTTGTTACCTCTTTCTTATTAGAAAGATCCTGACACTTTTTTTTTGAGGAGAAGGGCTAGCAATGTGCCTAGCCGCAAATGCTTTTCCCTAGATCCCATACACTTTTGGGTGGCCATGGATATAGTTCTAGACACACGGTGAAGATGTCTAAAAAAGAACTTTTTTTCCTAATGTAGATATACCCCAATTCATTTCTTCCTTTTTTTTCTTCCTCCTAGAATATTAACATGAAGATGGAGATGGAACCTCATGACAAGAATGAAGGTGAACATGATGTGGAAAATATGAAGTCTATGCTAAGGATCCTGGAGCAGAATGAGAGGAGAAGCCTGGGTCATTCAGGCTGCAACAGCCCTAGAGTGGCTACCCGTGGACTTAGTAAGTCTGAAAAATAAACCCCAATTTGGTTAAACTGTTTTCTGTTATGTGTAGCTAAACATATTCTTGGCTAATACATAAACTGTCATAAGTTATCTTCTAACTAGTCTTCCTGCTTGCAGGCTCTACCAGTTAGACAGCAGCAGCATGATCTAGTATGTCAGAAATATAAGAGCTATCACAAAGCAATACATCAACTCCTATAGCATTTGCTGCCAATTCCAGATATGCCAAATTATATGATTAAGAAATACATGTTTATTAAAGAAAAAATAGAAAGTAGAGAGGAGACATAAGACTACCCATAGTTGAAACTTCTCAAGTCCCATTTTAACATTTTCCTATAGTTATGCTGTCTTATTTTATTCACAGGTTTTTCACAATAACATTACAGTGTATTCCTATTTTACCTAACACTATATTATAAGCAGTTTTCCATGTTAACACATGGAAACAAATAGCTTTTAAACAAATAGCTGTTTAACATTCCAAGTAACTATAATAAGTTTTACCTAACTCGTTTCTTGTCACTGAACTTAATTCACTTTTTAAAAAAATCATTCATTCACTGAGTATCTACTACATTCAAGTCACTGGATTAAATATTATCCAGTAAGAAGTGGCTCCTATTTGAACGCTCTTCACAACTACAAAAGACAAAACATAACATTCGACATATATAGCATATGCATGTGCACACTTTCTGTATGTGGCCCTAAGCCATTTAATTGCTTTTAAATATGCTTATAGGATTGAAATATTCTAATTACCTTTCCATGTACTCCTTTTATTGATCATTTCTGTTATCCTTGTCTGCTGGATTTGCTTTAGCGTGACTGATCAGTGCAGTATAGCACTTCCAATGAACAACTTATGTAAAAGCTGAGACCACCTGAAATTTCAAGTGACCAAAGACCTCCTGTTTTCATTTTTATTAACAGAATACGTGCTTCAAAGTGTTAATAACTCTTTCTTCCTTTCTGTTTTCACAATTATCAGTAATACTTAATTCCCCAACAACCTTCTGGTGGAAAGATAATCATTTCTGGTTACCACACCAAGAAGGAAACTGACTAGCATGACTCAGAGAGTCATTAAAGACCTGAGATTTGAAAGGAGAGGCCTTGGCTCTTAGCAATGCTGTTCTGAGAACACAGCCAATTTGCATAAATGGCAGATTGACAATTCCTTATCTGTGAGTGCTAAGTCCAAGCTATAATTTTTTCTATGTACATAAGGAAAACTGATTTTCTAACTCAAAGTGCATGTATGTACTGTATTCAAAGTGAAAGAAAAGACGAATTGATATTATGCAACTGAATTACTGATGTTTTAAAACATAAAACCTATTATTGAAAATTCTGTCTTGATGTTGTTACTAATGGGCCAACTCCTGGAATGTATCTGAAGGAAGATTTCCTAGTTTCCTGAGAGGCAGTTCTGCACCCTTGGATCCTAGAGTAAGAAAAGATTTTGGCTGAAATGTATTTACCTCAAGTGGGTCTTAAATATGGTGTTGGTGGGAGAAGACTGGAAAAAGCTACTAGAGAATATGTCACAGCAACTAAAAGTAGAGAATTTCATCAGCATGAATGGTGAATTAATTCAAAGCTCAGAGGTAGGTTGGTTTACAGCTTGACATGAACATGCCTTGATAAATGTAAACTTAAGATTCATATTTTCATAAAGTGACAGAATATTCGCTTTGCAGACCATTTCCAAGGTTTAAAAATATTTCTCATTTATAATCTTTTTCTTGAAACTTTTTTTCTCCACCTCTGATGAGGCAACAAGGTACGTATGTCTAGGAAAAGTGAAGGCTTACTAGAAAATGATACAGATAAAATATGAATAGGATGAATTCTAAAACGCTTATGCCAAATCACCAGCTATTCTGTTTAGCCAAGATTTGTATTTGTAAACTGCCCAATCATCTGCTGGACTGTTCTTATCTTCACAGGATCCATGACAGCCAAGTGTGCTCTTTCATCCCCTTCATTTTGGACCTGTTGAGTAATTCACACAGCACATAATCAAAGTGCTTTCTGATGTAACTGGTTTTGGTCTATATGAAATGATTCCTTCAGAGAAGTCCCACATTTTTTCCAGGCCATTCATTCAGTTTATTCATTTATTGGGTGTATATGTACCAGGTACTAGTTATGCAATGATGACTAAGATAATTCCTACTTTCTGTCAATTGTTTGTGAACTGACGACCCAGATCACCTGGGAAAGTTGGCTGCAGATTCCCCAGCCCCACCCTAGACCTCCTGAATCAAAATCTCAGAGGGCAGAGGATTCTGCACTTTGAAGATGTTCTAGGCACTGCTGCTTTAAGAGTTCAGAGTTTAAAACACTCTGGGGTTGGGGAGGTGGACTTGGAGCAGGGGTAGGTAAGTGCTGGGAGGGAAAGGAGATGTGGAGGGTATGGCCAAACAGGAAAACAAATAAATGCACTATAGTGTGGTAAGTGCTATAATAGAGTTACACCTGCAAAGTGCTAAGAATACATAGTGAGGAAGAGTTAAGCCTGACTATAAATTGTCAGAGGAGAGAATTACCAAGATTTCTTGAAGTATCTAGAATCATTATTCCTTAGAATGTTAAGCAACTCAATTGTTTCTTCTTGAAGTACTCCTAAATTTAATAAGAAAAAGTTTACTTTTTAAATAAGTGAATTCCCAAGTAATTAAAGATGATCTTGAAAATTGTATGCAGAGATCATCTGAGTTAACAGCATTTCTACTGTGTAAATTTATCCTAAGGATATAATTAGGGTTATGCACAGGTTTGATTACAAAGCTATTCCCTGCAGCAGATAAATTGTGTCCAACTGCTCATTTTCATCAAGTCCCAGAATCTGTTCTCCATGGACAACTTCCCTGTCCCTACTTTTTATATTGTCTTAAAACATTCTGGACCATAAATAGTTCCCAGTCTTGCTGTTCAGGCTCTGTAAAACCAGTACTCTATCCCTACAGTAAACACTGTTTCCAGTGACAAAAACAGAATTTAGGAATTTAATTCATCAGTAGCCCTGGCCAGCCACACTGGGCAAGATCATGTACAGAGCATAAATTTTAATGCTAATGTCCAAACTCAATATGATGATTTTGGCAGATTGGACATCCTAGCCATTCACTGAAAAGAGATAGCTCTGAAGTGCACTTGCCTTTCACCTCTGACTCCTCTACAGGCATATAGCTCCTAGACCATAGGTTTGCAACTTGGCTGTGATAATCACTTGAGCCACTGACTATATATATGTGTACACACACACACACCCTATATGTATACATCCGTTTCTAGTCTCTACACAAGACCAGTCAAACCAGAATCTCTCAGGTGGGGCTGGTACGTTGAATATAGACTGTCTTATTTATCTTTTCCTCTCTGGTTCCCAGGAGAGCACTTGACATTATCGGGTACTTAATGTCCTATTCACTCAACCCATTTACTGAGTATTTATGTTCTAGACATTTCTAAGTGCTAGGGATACTAGAGAATAGAACAAATGGTTAACTCTTATCAAATATTCTAATGGGAGGAGACAGACAGGTGATATCAGGTAGTGGTGAAAGCTGTAAAAATAAGACATGTTAAGGGTGGACAACCACATAATATATCACACAAGGACACATTGAGAGTAATTATTCACAATTATGTTAAGACGATGCCAATAAAACCAGGACTGTCCTGGATAAATCGAGATGTATAGTCACTCTGGGTAAGATGGTGCTTTTTAAAAATGATGTGCTGTTCAGGAAAGGCATTTCCTAAAGGGAAACATTTAAGCAGAAGTCTGAGGAAGATAAAGGAGCTAGCCATGAGGATATCAGGGGAAGAACATTCCAGGTAGATGGAATAGCATCTGAAGTAGAGGCAAGCTTGGCATATTAGAAAAAAAATCAGAGAGGCCAGTTTGATTGGAGTGGAATGAATGAAAGGAAGTTCTGCTGAAGAGGTCAAAGGGGTGGCCAGAGACCAGATCTCATATCTTTTAGGCCCATGGTAAGGAGTTTGTACTCCAACTTGAGACAGAAATCTATATAATTTACATTTTAAAAGGATTACTCTGGCTACTGGGTGTAGTAGAGCCTTGTAGGATGGCAGTAGTAAAAGCAGGAAGATCATTTATTGGTGTAGGCAAGAGATTATGGTAGCTTGGACCAGTGTACTAACCGTGGCAGTGGCGAGATGTGATTAGATTCTGGAAGCATGATAAGGGTAGAACTGAGAGGATTTGCTGTTGAATTGGACACAGTTTATGAGGGAAACTGAAGAACCAGGGATGATCCCTCAGTTTTCAGCTTAGCAATTAGGAAAATGGAATTGTCATTTATTGAGATGGGTGAAGATTGTGGAAGGCAGGCTTTTGGGAGCAAAGGGAAACAAGAGTGTAGTTTTGGACACATTAAGAGGAGATGGTTAGGGGCTTCCCCGGTGGTCCAGTGGTAAAGAATCCGCCTTCCAAGGCAGGGGACACAGGTTCGATCCCTGGTCAGGGAACTAAGATCCCACATGCCATGGGGCAACTAAGCCCATGCGCCACAACTACTGAGCTCACATGCCTCAATGAGAGAGCCCGTGCACCACAACTACACAGCCCACACGCCCTGGAGCCTGTGCGCCACAACTAGAAAGAGAAAACCCGTACACCACAACTAAAGCGAAGCCTGCATGCCACAACGAAAGATCCGATGGGCCTCAGCAAAGATCCCATGTACCGCAACTAAGACCCAACGCAGCAAAAACAAAGAGGAGATGGTTAGTAGATAAGAAGACTAGAGTTTAGGAGAAAAGTTGGGACTGTTTGCTATCATATCTAAGAATTTCCCCATTTCTAAACCTACATGGTGAATACATTGGTTCCTCCATTTGACATAAAGGTTAATTAGGAGGGCCTAAATATGTGTCTTTTATTTTATTTTATGTTTTTTAAACTTAGGGACCCTGGTGGGACTAGGGCTAGCTTTTATTTTACTTTTTTAAATATTTACTTATTTATTTGGCTGCGCTGGGTCTTAGTTGCAGCACACGGGATCTTCATTGTGGCATGCGGGATCTAGTTTCCTGACCAGGGATTGAACCTGGGCCCCCTGCCTTGGGAGCACGGAGTCTTAACCACTGGACCACCAGGGAAGTCCCTAAACGTGTGTCTTTTAAAAAGAGTACTGGGCTGCATTCTTCATTTGTAGATGAGGGAGATTTATTTTCACAAAGCCTGAAAGTGAGGTGTTGCCCAGTGGTGTCCACTCATTTCATATTTCTCCAGCTGAGGCAAGCTGTAATCCCTGTAAATCTAAGCTAATTTACAGTTCCTATTACCTAACTTGGTCAATGAAGACCCCATTTGGGGAAGCTGAGTAAGAAATTAGAGTCTAAAGAAACAGTTGACACTTGTGTGTTCTATGAGTTTACAGAAAGAAAAATCTCCAAGTCAAGCATATTACAGTATGAAAATTAACAATTGGTACAGGTGCATACAAGTTTCTAGCAATGTAAGCCTAAGTCTGGTTTTAAAACAGAAATCTATAGTATCAATTAGAGTTCCCATTATTTATTGACTTCTTGCCTACAAAACAGCTGTCTTTTATTTTCAAATGCAAAACAGATGGAAATTTACTCTGTCAGGGAAATCTATATTAAACAAAATATTTGCAACATTATTTGCCGTATTATTTTGACTTCATCACCTGCCTGAGACTCTGACTTTTTTCACTTTCTGAAGACTTAACTAAATTGGAAATCAAGGATCTGAACTGGCTTTTTCTCGATGATTATTGAAACCTAGGAAAACTCTTGGTTTCAAAGTTTTGTAAAGTCATCAAAAAAACAGTGTGTCTTTGGTTAAAAATAATGTCCTATAGACATGAAATCAGTGTGACCATAAGAGAAATGGAAACCGAAACTGTTTTTTTATCAGACTTCAAAGTTAAAAGCCAGGAAATTTTAGCTGCATCAACGAAACCCTACATGAGGACCTGTTGGTAAAAATAAGTGGGCTAATTGCATAGATAAGTGACCCAGAAAAGGACTTGTTGATTGACAATTATTTTTATTCATTCTTCTATCTTATTGAATGCCTGCCACAAACAGTTGCTGAGTGTGCAATGGTGAGCAGAACAGACATGATCCCTGCCTTCATATAGGATATGGAAGATGACAGGTTTTACTTGAATCGTCACTCAGAACGACCTAAACTTACAAACCTCACTAAGTTCTTTGCAGAAGAGCATGGTGCCATCACTGAGACCTGCCTAGGCTGGGAGAGCCAGGGAAAGCTTCCTTGGTGAAGAAACATTTGACTGAGCTCTGATGATTAAGTAAGCATTAACTAGCTCAGAGGGAGATGGGTGGGAGAAACGAACAGCGGTCAGGAGATGGGAACGGCAAGTGCAAAGCCAGAATTGTGAAGGTGTGGCATGCAAAAAAGAGTGAGTGGGTTTGGAAAGCAGAAAGTGAGAGGGAGAATGGCTGGAGATGATTTGGGGATGTAGACGTTCAGGCCTAATTAACAATTCTGCAGAAAGATAGGCAGTCACTGAAGTGTTTAAATTAGAAAGATGATGTGACCATACTTTATTTTTAAAAGTCAACTCTGGGGTCAGGAGAACTTCCACTTCTAGTAATGGATTAGGTAATTCAGGCTAGCACCTTACCCAGAAAACCCACAAAAGCTGGGAAAAAAATACTTTAAAAATTACTCCAAGAGCTAACACAAAGATTTAAGGTAATAAGACCTGAGAGAAGAAAACTCAGAGGTGAGCAGAACATTTCAAGCCACTTTTTCCAAAGAGGTGGCTAAGAAGCTGAACAGAACTTTTGACAGACTAGCAGGGATAGGGGTATAAAAACTGAAGTTCAGGGAAGGTCAAAGGGAGTGACGCCAGGTTTTGGGTTGGGACCCAAAGAACTGCATTGGGAGTGAGGGTAAACCAGAAATAGACCAGCCCTCCCAGCTTCAAATCCTCTCAGGTTCTCCAATTGGATTAAAATGATCT